ACACAGTTTAACTACTTACTAGAGACACATTCAGATTTAACTATGGAAACATACCTTACTTACTTTACTTTTTCCTTCCACGTATGCCGCTAAGCGTTGTGGGGAGATGCAAGTTCCTGTCGTAAGCAAGGCGGGCAGCATCTGATGTTCTGAGGCCATGCTTTTGGCAGGTTTCGGAGACCCCGTCAATCCACCGTTTCCTTGGAAACATACCACCGCCATGAAATCAGACAGACTACAGGTTATCCTCCCTGCAATCATCCGTACCCACGTTGTTTAGCCCAGTGTGCGTAGCCACAACAGCTGGGTCGGCCCCCTGCCCTGAGCGACTTCGGGTTCAGTCCGGAAAGCCAAAAATTAGCCGTTATCGGGTGCGATGACCTTTTTATAGACGGTGGCCATGTTTCTCCGCATGTGCAACTAAATCAAGTTAAATTAGTTGTTGCATGGCTACACTTAGTACTGTAAGGCTGTACTGTAAGACTTGAAGTCGTGAGGATTGACTACATAGAACAGGTTTTTATTCCGTAAATCTTTGTCGCTTGGCAGAAAAAAAAATGGCCTAGACAATTTGGCAAGAGAATCATCATCTTAGACTACTTCTGCCGTTAAGCGCTGTGGGGAGGAATAATTTGCCATCCAGTGCACGTTGGCTGCCACTGGCTATTGTCAGGCCGTAAAGGCGTAGAGTGTCTTTTATGTTGTCGATCCATGTTTTCCGCGGCCGTCCTCTTGCTCGTGTAGCTGATATTCTGAGATGTAGTGCTTGTGATGGTATTTGATTTGCGGCATTCTAACAAAATAGCCAAACCACTTAATCTGCTGTTTCTCGATGAATCTAGTACAATGTGTCGTTCCCACAATTTGCCTGATAGTGTCATTATTCACTCGATCTCGGATGGCTAGGTTGGCTGCTTTTTTCAGGCACCTCATATCGCAGGTGGTGATTTTACGTATATGGGCTTAAGATAGTGTCCATGTTTGGCACTGGTAGCTTAATATTGGAAAGAATATGCTATTAATAATCTGTCTCTTTGCACTCATAGTTATGCTTGGATGTCTTAATAATGGTGACAATTGGTATATAAGTGCACTTGCTTTCTGGCATCTGGTTTATATTTCTCTGTCAATTCTACCATCTTCTGTGATCATACTTCCTAGATATTTAAACTCCCTAACTTGATTCAGAGCAGAACCATTAAGCTGTATGTGTAGTGGGGCAGGGGTTCTACTAACTTGCATTGTTTCGGTTTTGTTTACATTGATCTTCATGTTGTATTTACTGCATGCTGAGTTTAACCTGGTAATGTGGTCTTGCAGTCCATCTTCTTCAGGGTAGAACAGAGCAAGAGAATATCTATTTAAACAATTATGTACAAATATGTAAGACTATTCATAAAAAGTACTTTTATGCCGCAATATAGCATAAAATATTTGTCTATTCACAGAATGATTCTTTAAGAGAATCAATCAGATTCTTGTCCCGTGAAGAAGTACATAGCCAGTATATTCAAAGGTTTCAATACAACAGTACGGATTTTCCTAAAAAAACGTTCCCAACAAGACTCATCGTCACAAGAGACCCATACTCTCGACTATTGTCTTCCTACTTAGACAAAATTTATCTCCCAGATTTTTGGATTTCGGAAGTTGTGAAAATGGTTAAAACCCTGCCAAACAATACATCTTCGATTACAAGCCAGGATTTTTTAAGAAATCACTTCAACGAAATGGCTAATGTGTTTAAAAACAAGTCAGTAATAAGTAGAATAACAACAGCAGCTCAAAGCCACTGTGGCAAATATATGACCTTTTCTGAATTTGCTGAAAGTGGATTTGAGAACGAGGAGCCACACTGGACACCGATTCACAAAATCTGCAATCCATGCAAATTTCTTGCTACACACATCAGCAAAATGGAGACTTTCTCTGCGGATGCTAGAGCCCTTCTCTCGCTGATGCAACTGGAAACTGTCATGGACAACTTAGACGACGACAACGCTCAAGTATGTTCGTTTGATAATTTCTGTCATTGAATTCTTTGTTCTCTAAGCCAGGGCCACTTTCAGTCATTATATCGAACTAAGTTTCTTTCTTTCTTTCTTTCTTTCTTTCTTTCTTTCTTTCTTTCTTTCTTTCTTTCTTTCTTTCTTTCTTTCTTTCTTTCTTTCTTTCTTTCTTTCTTTCTTTCTTTCTTTCTTTCTTTCTTTCTTTCTTTCTTCTCTTCTTTCTTTCTTTCTTTCTTTCTTTTTTCTTTCTTTCTTTCTTTCTTTCTTTCTTCTTTCTTTCTTTCTTTCTTTTCTTTCTTTCTTTCTTCTTTCTTTCTTTTCTTTCTTTCTTTCTTTCTTTCTTTCTTTCTTTCTTTCTTTCTTTCTTTCTTTCTTTCTTTCTTTCTTTCTTTCTTTCTTTCTTTCTTTCTTTCTTTCTTTCTTTCTTTCTTTCTTTCTTTCTTTCTTTCTTTCTTTCTTTCTTTCTTTCTTTCTTTCTTTCTTTCTTTCTTTCTTTCTTTCTTTCTTTCTTTCTTTCTTCTTTCTTTCTTTCTTTCTTTCTTTCTTTCTTTCTTTCTTTCTTTCTTTCTTTCTTTCTTTCTTTCTTTCTTTCTTTCTTTGTTTCTTTCTTTCTTCCGTCAAGTCTGTCTGTCTGTTTACTGGTAAGCTGGCTGGCTGTCTTGTGGTTTGCAGACTGTCTGTCTGTCTGTCCGTCTGTCTGTCTGACTGATGGCTGTCTGACTGTCTGGCTTGCTGTCTGTCTGTCTGGTTGACTGTTGGGCTGTCTGGTTAGCTGGGCGGCTGTCTAGCTGGCTGTCTGTCTGTTTGCTTGGCTGGCTGTCTGCCTGTTTGATTATCTGACTATCTAGCTGTTTATCTGACTGGGAGCTGTCTACCTGGCTGTCTGTCTGTCTATCTGACTGTCTGTCTATCTGACTATCTGTCTATCTGACTGTCTGTTAATCTAAACGTCTGTCTGTCTATCCGACTGTCTGTCTATCTGACTGTCTGTCTATCTGACTGTCTGTCTATCTGACTGTCTATCTTACTGTCTGTCTATCTGACTGTCTGTCTATCTTACTGTCTGTCTATCTATGCGACTGTCTGTCTATCTGACTGTCTATCCGACAGCCTGTCTATCTGACTGTCTGTCTATCCGACAGCCTGACTATCTGACTGTCTGTCTATCGGACTGCCTGTCTATCCGACTGTCTGTCTATCTGAATGTCTGTCTATCCGACTGTCTGTCTATCTGACTATCTGTCTATCTGACTGTCTGTCTATCTGACTGTCTGTCTATCTGACTGTCTATCTATCTGACTGTCTGTCTATCTGACTATCTGTCTATCTGACCGTCTGTCAATCTAAATGTCTGTCTGTCTATCCGACTGTCTGTCTATCTGACTGTCTGTCTATCTTACTGTCTGTCTATATTACTGTCTGTCTATCTAACTGTCTGTCTATCTTACTGTCTGTCTATCTTACTGTCTGTCTATCCGACTGCCTGTCTATCTGACTGTCTATCTATCTGACTGTCTGTCTATCCGACTGTCTATCTATATGACTGTCTGTCTATATGACAGTCTGTCTATCTGACTGTCTGTCTATCTGACTATCTGTCTATCTGACCGTCTGTCAATCTAAATGTCTGTCTGTCTGTCTGTCTATCCGACTGTCTGTCTATCTGACTGTCTGTCTATCTTACTGTCTGTCTATCTTACTTTCTGTCTATCTAACTGTCTGTCTATCTTACTGTCTGTCTATCTGACTGTCTGTCTATCCGACTGCCTGTCTATCTGACTGTCTATCTATCTGACTGTCTGTCTATCCGACTGTCTGTCTATCCGACTGTCTGTCTATATGACTGTCTGTCTATATGACTGTCTGTCTATCTGACTGTCTGTCTATCTGACTGTCTGGCTGTTTGACTGGCTGAATGACTGTCTGCCTGATTGTCTTTTAAATTGACTTTTTTTTTAAATTGGGCTGTGTCTGGCTGTGTTTCGGTTTATAGCTAGACACCTGAAGGCAGAACACGTCCGATTTTAGTTAGGAAACAAAGTAAAGGTCCTTTTTCCCTGTCTTCAGTCGTACTTGGCACCTAGGGCTAGACCGTTACTTTACAGACCAATCGGCACTGAGTGGGGGAATGTGGTTAACATGATGCCCGTTGCCTTTACTTCCCAGGGCTGTACCTGGTAGCATTGTAGGACTAGGTCGACCTGGACGTCAAAGACACCTTTTAAGGAGTGCCTAGTTGGTCATGTTCTCAGCAAATTGGTTTCCATAGCGAGGCGCACACGCCATTTAGAGGTGACATGTTCAATTCCTTGCTTGGTTACTATAGTTGACGGTTTTTATGTTGTCTAGTGTGTTCTTATATCTTCCTAATTCTTTCTATGAGTGCCAGTCAATACATTGTAAGTTTTTTTTAAATATATATATATATATATATATATATATATATATATATATATATATATATATATATATATATATATATATATATATATATATATATATATATAATATTGACAAAATAACTACAGTAGAATACTTTCTTTTTCAATTCGTTGATTCTATACTGTTTGCGCCTTTCAGATTGATGAGGAAATCAACATCATCAGTTCCTACAACTTTCATCACTTCTACAGAAATGTGACACTCACATTCTACAAGCCTTGCCTCTTTCCAAAGGAGATAGCCTACCGCTTGTGGTACAACTTCCGATGGAGAGGCTATATCGATCCAGACGTTGACTACAAGCTCCCAGAGCTGACAGATCTCAAGGATATCGAGGAAGATTTTATGGTCCAGGTTAGGGCAGCAAGGAAATCTGGGCTTCAGAACCCGAATAAAATGAAGGCAACTAAGAATGAATTTAGAAAAAAAGCTTTTCTGTCTTTATCGAAAGCAATGTTTGAGAAATTAAGCCAAAAGTATGCAATAGATTTTGAGTTATTTGGTTACACTGATATAAGAGATGAGTTGTATTCATTTTACAGTGGCTAGAAAACATTATGCTATCAGTGCCAAACGTGGACACTTACATCCTCAAGTGAACCTAAATCTGTGACAACAGAGATTAAATGCCTCAGAAGAGCTGCAGGAGTTTCAAGGAAAGACAGAATACGAAATTAGACGAATGCTAGGAATAAAGCCAGTCTTACAGATCATCAAAGAACAACAAATGAAGTGGTTTGGACACCAAAAAGAATTCCCTGGTACTGTCTGCCACAGCGAGCCACACTAAAACGTTACAACGGGTATACAGCGAGTGGAAGACCTCGGAAAATATGGAGTGATGGCATTAAGAACAGCCTTATAGAAATGAACATTAGTCTTAATAGTGCTCTTGACAGAGCTCATCAACGAATGTTACATCTTCCCTTGACACTTTGATGAGGTACAAGGTGGAAGAGAAAAAGAAGAAGAAAACTGCAAAGAATAGCATGGCTGCACAGTCTGTTTTTAACCTCAACTAACACGGCGAAACGAGGGATATGCCATAAATCAAAATCGGCGAAACAGTCTGTACACATGGTAAACATACATTTCCTGTTTGAATTATACATTGGTACCTCCGTGTGCCTTAGCTTTGGTGTACGTTCAACTTGGTATACGTTTTGTTTAGACGCGAAAACGTTTGCTCGTTATATGACCTTTGCTTTGAATACGAACTTGTATGGGTCAAAATTAGTAAAAGTTAAACCGATCAGCCTCAGCCAGGTCCAAGTTGCGAAAGGAGACCAAAAGAAAAAAAACCAGAAAAACACAAAAATGTCAGACTGCTGAAATTTTTTGGGGTTTGGATATTGGATTAATAGACTATGAAAAAAGCTTTCAACTGCAGTGATAGTGAATCTCTCTGGAAAAAAAAAATAGGGCACAATGGAATACCACAGATAAGTATTAACTTAGTAAAGCCAACATACAAAGACTTGAAATGTCGAGTTCTTCATGATGGAAAGCTAACAGATACCTTTGAAATAAAAACAGGTGTGCGACAGGGATATCTTTTTGTAGCTCTCCTATTTTTACTAGCAATAGATTGGATTTTCAAGATAGCAACTGCTAACACCAACAATGGAATTCAATGGACACCTACAGAACAGCCTGTTGACTTGGACTTCGCTAGTGATGTTTTTCCTCTGTCCCACTCGTGCAATCAAATGCAAGATACATTGAGAATACAGTTCTTGATGTGAGATCACAACAGCTAGGTTTAAAAATCCATATGGAAAAGGAAAAGACAATGCGAATACCCTGCAAGTCAGGCAAAAAGTATTGTAGTTTCTCTTGATGGCATCCCCTTCCAAGACGTGGAGTCGAACATTTATTTAGGCAGTCATGTAGATAAAGATGGGGGAACTGATCGAGATATTAAAATACGAACACAAAAGGCAAGAGGAGGTTTCACAGCATTAGGAAAATTGTGGAGATCAAAGAAAATTTGAACTATTACTAATTTTTTTAAATATAATGTCAAATCTGTCTGTCTGATTGTCTGTCTGTCTGTCTGAATGTCTGTCTGTCTGTCTGTCCGTCCGTCCGTCCGTCTGTCTGTCTGTCTGTCTGTCTGTCTGTCTGTCTGTCTGTCTGTCTGTCTGTCTGTCTGTCTGTCTGTCTGTCTGTCTGTCTGTCTGTCTGTCTGTCTATCTGTCTGTCTGTCTGTCTGTCTGTCTGTCTGTCTGTCTGTCTGTCTGTCTGTCTGTCTGTCTGTCTGTCTGTCTGTCTGTCTGTCTGTCTGTCTGTCTGTCTGTCTGTCTGTCTGTCTGTCTGTCTGCCTGCCTGCCTGCCTGCCTGTTTGTCTGTCTGTCTGTCTGTCTGTCTGTCTGTCTGTCTGTCTGTCTGTCTGTCTGTCTGTCTGTCTGTCTGTCTGTCTGTCTGTCTGTCTGTCTGTCTGTCTGTCTGTCTGTCTGTCTGTCTGTCTGTCTGTCTGTCTGTCTGTCTGTCTGTCTGTCTGTCTGTCTGTCTGTCTGTCTGTCTGTCTGTCTGTCTGTCTGTCTGTCTGTCTGTCTGTCTGTCTGTCTGTCTGTCTGTCTGTCTGTCTGTCTGTCTGTCTGCACTGTGTGTGTGCATGTATATCCATAAATGTATGGGTGTGTGTGTTTTCTGTTTGTGCATTTATGTCTATGTGTGTGTATATGTTTTATGTTTGTATGTGTAAGTAGATGCGTGTGTGTGTGTATCACGTATGTCTGTATATTAGTTCGCATGTATGAGAACGTAGGAGTATGTATACGTGTGTATACGTGTGTGTGAGTGTGTACGATTGTGTACACATGATGTGTATTATTCTATAATTTATATTTCTTTATTATATCCATAACATGCAATATTGATAACAGGTGTTGGTACTCTGCAAAATGAGTGCTCAAAAGGGCAGAATATCAGACGGGCCTGCGTGCCCAATTTGTAACCCTTTAAAAATAAAGTTTGTTCGTTCGTTCGTTCTATCTGTCTGTCTGTCTGTTTGCCTGCCTGCCTGGCTGCTTTATTTAAGTGTAGTCTACCCTTTCGTTATTGTAATGCCTTTACCACTCATTCACCAGTGACATGACAGCCACCCTTACTGATAGACAGCCACCCTTACTGATAGACAACCACCCTTACTGATAGACAGCCACTCTTACTGATAGACAGCCACCCTTACTGATAGACAGCCACCCTTACTGATAGACAGCCACCCTTACTGATAGACAGCCACCCTTACTGATAGACAGCCACCCTTACTGATAGACAGCCACCCTTAGTGATAGACAGCCACCCTTACTGATAGACAGCCACCCTTACTGATAGACAGCCACCCTTACTGATAGACAGCCACCCTTACTGATAGACAACCACCCTTACTGATAGACAGCCACCCTTACTGATAAGACAGCCACCCTTACTGATAGACAGCCACCCTTACTGATAGACAGCCACCCTTACTGATAAGACAGCCACCCTTACTGATAGACAGCCACCCTTACTGATAGACAGCTACCCTTACTGATAGACAGTCACCCTTACTGATAGACAGCCACCCTTACTGATAGACAGCTACCCTTACTGATAGACAGCCACTCTTACTGATAGACAGCCACCCTTACTGATAGACAGCCACTCTTACTGATAGACAGCCACCCTTACTGATAGACAGCCACTCTTACTGATAGACAGCCACCCTTACTGATAGACAGCCACTCTTACTGATAGACAGCTACCCTTACTGATAGACAGCCACTCTTACTGATAGACAGCCACCCTTACTGATAGACAGCCACTCTTACTGATAGACAGCCACCCTTACTGATAGACAGCCACTCTTACTGATAGACAGCCACCCTTACTGATAGACAGCCACTCTTACTGATAGACAGCCACCCTTACTGATAGACAGCCACTCTTACTGATAGACAGCCACCCTTACTGATAGACAGCCACTCTTACTGATAGACAGCCACCCTTACTGATAGACAGCCTTACATTGCAAAGGCTGCCAATCCTTGCAAGTAACAGAATACACTTCTGCGTTACATTGATTTAAATGAAGATACTGTCCAATTGATGCGCAAGTGAGAGGCAGTGAAAAGGGGGGTTTTTGAAATACAGAGACGTAGTCACATCAGCGCCCTTGGCTTCTTTGTGTTGAGTTTTGTTTGTTGTTATGGTTTGCCTAAGCCTTCTCTAGAAATAGCTCCATGAGATAGTATGGTTGCTGATGAATGCTTATCACGGTAATGTATATCATTTTTCGTAACTGTAAATAGCAGTTTTTCTTAACTGAATGTTTTTATTGTTTTTCCCTTGGACTTCTAGTAACTCCCCTGGTGCCTGGGTAGTGAAATCGGACGCCTGTGTGCATTGTTGTGCACATAAAAAAAAAAAATCTCTTGGCAGTTGGAAATCGAAAAGAGTAGCCTAAAGGCGCTACCCGGGCACAATTTGGAGTTAAAAATCTACTTAAAGAATTTCGGGATCCTCGCCTGTGCTACAAAGCCTGTTCACTGTGCTGAGCTTCTTCGGACTCAGACTTGAGTTAAAAGAAGAACAGAGCACTTACGAAATACACCTGTGTGCCATGATGTTGATGCGTTGTTGAAAACCTTAAAACCTCAAAGTGAAGGCGCCAGTCGAACGCATTGCAGAGTTTGTAACTAATATTCTATTCCTGTTTGATGATGAACTGCATTTCTAATGCCAGACTGTTTGTGTTAGCACTTCGGATGGCTACCGTATGCTTTAATGCGTGTGTATGCTAGATATGCTGAGACAGCAGTCTGTCAATCTTTCCACAAGGGACTGTGATTAACATTCTGTGTGTTTTTCGTTGGCATAGGAGCGGAGCAAAGATGGGGTGACCCGTTTGCTATAAAGCTAAAACTAAGACTACCAGACTACCAAGCATTATTAGAGCACATTCCAGCGTTCCTAATTAAAATTAGATGTTGTGAACATTATTATTATTATCATCATCCTCATTACCAATGAAATGATGTAGGAATGAATAACTGCATATAATGATTGGACTGGAAGGGCCGAATGTTAGACGATCCTGTAAGCCCAATCCTTAACCCTTTGAAACAAAAGGTCGCTCGTTCTTTCGTTCGTTCTGTTTTCCACCTGTCTGCATTTTCACATAGTCAGGAAGAGAAAGAGAGTCGAAGTGCTATATAGAACCTGTTGTGTTATGTGCAAGAGAAAGAGAGTTGAAGTGCTAATTTTAACCTGTTGTGTTAAGTGCAAGAGAAAGACAGTTGAAGTGCTCCATAGAACCTGTTGTGTTACGCCCAAAAGAAAGAGAGTTGAAGTGCTATATAGAACCTGCTGTGTTATGTGTAAGAGAAAGAGAGTTGAAGTGCTCCATAGAACCTGCTGTGTTATGTGCAAGAGAAAGACAGTTGAAGTGCTCCATAGAACCTGTTGTGTTATGTGCAAGAGAAAGAGAGTTGAAGTGCTATAAAGAACATGTTGTGTTATGTGCAAGAGAAAGAGAGTTGAAGTGCTATAAAGAACATGTTGTG